AGGACTCGCCGTCCGCGCCGCCGCGGCCTGTGTCCACTTGAGCCGCGCCGCCGCGGCCTGTGTCCATTTGAGACAGGATGCCACCTGCCCAACAGCGGCCGCTGTTGATTCGGGACACCATTTGCTGTTGGACACTGTGCCCATTCTTCCCGTACCCATTTCGGGCGTGCAAACCAGAGAGTCCATCCAACGCGCTGAGAAAAAATCAAGGCGGCGGTGTTTCGCCCGTTCCGGCCTCTACAGGGGGGGCCAAGCCAAGAAACACCCTGCTTGCCTCCAGGGTGCCCTGGGTCGCTTGGCCTTCGATGGCTCGCGATGGAGAGCGTGACGTTCCCACGCTGTAGAGGCCCTCGCCGGGCCCCGGGACCGTCAAAAAACGACTCGGGATGCAACACCAGCCCTGGGGAAGGGGTCGGGACTGCCAGGGGCTCCGCACTGAGAAAAAATCGGCAACGCGCAGAGGGGGGTAGAGGGAGGGGGGAAGGCTTCTTAGCAGCCCCCCTGCTTCTTAGAAGGCGCCGGCCTTGTCTGTAGATGGAAGGCCCGCGCCTTCTAAGAAGCAGCCTCCTTCTAAGAAGCCTTCCCCCCTCCCCCTACCCCCTTGTGCGCGCCGCCAAAAGAAAACGCAGCGTCGGATCTCTGGGCACGGCCGGGCGCAGCTCGGAGAGCCGGCACGGCCGGACCCTTGGATGTTTGATGCTCCAACCTGCAGTGCCGTTTTTTGCATACATGCTCCGCGTGCGGATCATGCATTATGAATGCAGGGATTTAGTACTTCAAACAACGATGAGTTCATGCAGATATTGATTCATACGTTAGTCATGTAAGAAATCCTGTGTATATATATATATATATAAAAATCCAATGTATTAGGAACTGCCCTGTATTTTAGCCTTGATCACCAGGAAGAATTTCGAGCGCCCCAAAAAGAACCGAAACTCCAGGGTTTTCACGTGTCGGGCCCTGGGAGACACTCGCCCGACACTGCTTCGACGCTCTTTCGACACTCTTTTGACACTTTTCCAGGTGCTCGAAATTATTTCTGGGATGCGGTCCTTAAGTAGGATGGGAACAACATAACCCTTGGAGGGGTCCGGGCGGCGCCGATTTTGAGCTGCTGGTGCCTCAGCTCGCCCTGCTCCAGCAGGGGGGCGGCCCTCGCGGCTGGGGGTTGAATCGGGCCAGCGAAGCCCCTGCTGCACACGCCCTCTCTGAGAGCTGCTCGGGAGCCTTCGGTAGCAAATCGTGGGAGCCTGGTATACCCTCTTGATTCCGTCTTTGCGTCGGCTAGCGCCGCTTAGCGTCAGGGAGTGGATGAAACAGCGTCGATTTAGCGTCGATTAGCGATATTTAGCGTCGACCAGCGTCGATTCGCCAGAGCCGACAATAGGGGAACGAACAATGACATAAACATAAGAACTCGGAGGTCCACGCGGATTTCTCGGATCGGCGCTGGGGCCCCCTGGCGGCGCCTCCGGCGCCGCCCCTGGCGCGCTCAGCGCGGATCCAAGAAATCCGCGCGGACCTGAGAGTTTTTATGTTTATGTCATTGTTCGTTCCCCTAGACAAGATGGTAGTGGAGGCTCCCATGAGTAAGTCGGGCCTGTCCTCCTACAGGGGGATGTTGGACGAAAAGTAAATGATAGCAAACAGATGCCCCCAAATGGTCAAACAATACTAGAACAAGACTTCCCAGACTATGTTTGACTATGTTTGAATATTCCTCCTGTAGAGGGACAGGCCCGACTTAATCCCATGAGTTGCCGCCGAAGGAGCCATGCCTGCTCTGCCCTTGCGCGGCAAGGCTTCGGGTTACTGCGCACAGAGAGGCCCTCCAGGCAGTCCCCCCCTGGCCTGACAGCAGCCCACCCGAGCAGTGCGGCTCGGTCTCGGCGCAGGACTGGGAAGGAGGAGGAGGAGGAGGAGGAGGAGGAGGCGGCGGTGGAGGAGAGCGAGAGGAGGAGGAGGAGAGGAAGGAGATGAGGAGGAGGAGGGAGGGGGAGGAGGGGTAGGAGGAGTAGAGAGGAGGAGGAGGAGGAGGAGGAGGAGGAGGTGGAGGAGCAGGGAGGCAGCCCTGGAGCGCTCCGCGCCGCAGGTCTGAGATTTTGAGGCCGCCCGCCGAGGCCCGGCCCGCCGGGGCCACCCTGGGGAGGCCTGGCGGTGCGCCGGCCGACGCCCGATCACCCCGTGCGTGGGGTTCCAGGGGCGCCCCGGGTCCTGGGCCGCAGCGGTCCCCTCCTCCCCCTCCTCCTCTCCTCCTCCTCCTCCTCCTCCTCCCCTCCTCCTCCTCGTCCTCCTCCTCCTCCTCCTCCCCTCCTCCTCCTTGACCGATACTCCTCCTCCATCCGATACTCACACACTCCTCCTCCTCCTCCTCATTCCCCTCCTCACCCTCCCCTCCTCCTCATCAGCATCATCATCATCAGCAGCAGCACGCGCAGGCACAAGCACTCATCATCGAACCGACGGGATCGTGGACAATCATCATCATCATCAATCATCATCATCATCAATCATCAGCATCATCATCAATCAAATCATCATCATCCATCATCATCATCACTCATCAATCATCATCATCACATCATCCTCGTTATCCTCTTATCCTCTTATCCAGCCGATCCCTGCTATATCCTCCTCCTCCTTCCTCACTCCTCCTCCTCCTGCTCCTTTCCTCACTCCTCTCCTCCTCCTCCTCCTCCTCCTCCTACTTCATCCCAGCTCCTCTCCTCCTCCTCCTCTGCTCCTCCCTCTCCCCCTCCTCATTCCTCCTACCTCCTCCTACCTCCTCCTCCTCCTCGCTCCTCTCTGGGGGCGGGGGCGGTCGCGGCAAAGCCGCGACGAGCCGTGCGCGCCCGTGCGGGTCGTGCAAGCCAGCGTCCGAGCGAGCCTCCTCCGATCCTCCGCGGGTCCGAGAGCCACCCGGGGACAGCTCCCCCGCCCCGAGCCTGGGAATCATACAAGCAAATTGGAACCGACGCTTTTGACTCGGCTTCGCCGTTTTGAGCCTCCTGGGGGGGGGGGGGGGGGCCTCGCTCCAACCTCGACCCCCGCTCTCCCTCCTCTCCGGCCCCCGTCCACCCATTTCCCTTCCCCTTTTCCTTCCCCCCAGCCCCCCCCCCCCTCCTTCCCCTCCTCCCCTCCTCCTCACTCCTCCTCGCGCCTTTCTCCACCTCCTCCTCTCCTCCACCTCCTACCTCCTCCCCTTCCTTCCACCTCCTCGCGGCCCGGTCCTCTCACTCCTCCTTCCTCCTCCTCCTCCTCTCTCCTTCCCCCTCCCTCCTACCTCCTCCTCCCCCTCTCTCAATATCCTCCATGCTCCTCTCCATCAACAATCGCCCCCACCCCCGCTCCTCCTCGCCCCCTCCCCTCATTTTCCGTGTTTCTTCCCCCAGGGGCCCTCGTCGCCACGGCTGGATTCGCCTCGGATCATGCGTAGAACGCACCTCGGGAGGGGTCTGGGAATAGGAGCAGCGGGATGCATGTGTCGTCTAATGAAGGAAAGCAAGGCAAATTCGGTGGTCAAGCAAGCTGTGCCCCCAGTCTCTTGGGGAGATGCCGTGGCGTGCAGTGTGCAGGGCAGTGTGCAGGGCAGGGCCTTGCTGGCTCGACTCAGCCATGAGCGGTGGCGTGGCTTCCGCCGTCTTCGAGGTGTGGATGCCCGACGGTGCCTCCCCAAGCCTTAGCCCACCTGCTATCCATGCCGATGCTGACAGATCGGTCGTGTGGATCTGATCCGTGGTGTGCTCGAGCGCTGTCCCCGAGCAGTGCCACCAAGCATCTACGGTCGCCTTAGCTTTATGCAGTCTGACGTGCGTGTGTCAGCCCGCTCACCCTGCCCTCCATCTTTTGGTGGTGGGTGTGGCGGGGCGTCGCTGGGTGGGGGTGTTGGCAGGTCGAGACTGGAGGAGCAGGGGGAGGAGGAGGAGGCGGGGCAAGAGTCCGTTTCCAATGCATTGCCCTTGGTATCAGTGGCCTTTCGGCACAGGATTGGCCACGCCCACATCCTGCTCACCCTCATCCGACGATTAGAATCAACCCGCATAGTAAGGATGAACATTTTTCCAAGGTTACCCTTGCATCCTTCTCCTTCGGCCAAATCTTGACCGCTGTCGCTGGCCAGCCCCACTCGAAAAACGTCAGCATGGCTTTTCAAGGTCCTTGCTTCCGTACCGCGCATCCTTATTATGTGGGTTGTACGTCTCTCGGGATCCCTCGGGTCAAACAATCCGGAGCGACTGGTCACGGCCGTATCTCCTCCGAACCAGGAAGAGGAGGAGGAGCAGGAGGAGGAGGAGGAGGAAGGGGGGAAGGGGAAGGCGGAAGTGGAGGCGGAGGCGGCGACAGAGGAGAATGAAGAGAGTGAGAGGAAGGACTGGCCCTTCTTCGGACGGGGCCAGGGCGAGAACAAGTCCGTTCCAGAGCATTCTGGCGGAACGCTCTCAGAGGGATACGGAACGCTCTGAGAAAGCCGCGGCGCCCGATACATTCTCCAGAGCCGCCGGATCTCAGAGATTCTTGATTTTTCCTCACCCGAATTTGTCCCTGTCCTGGCTTCGTCTCACTTCTCCCTTGGAGTCCTCCCCCAGATATGACAGGACTGCTCAGAAAGACTGGAGGGCACCAGTTGGTCTGTGATCGCAGCCAGGCGCCCTGTCCAACGCACCTCGCCCCCTCCTCCTCGTCGCTCTCATCCTGATGATCGTCGCCCTCCCCCTGCTCCCCCTTCCTGTCCCCCTCCCCCGCCCCCTCCCCGCCCCCCACCCTCACTCTCCTTCATCGTGCTCATATGCAGGATGACTTTCCCCGTCTGTCTTAACGGTGGGCAGACGCAAGCAGCGGAGCGGTAGCGTTCTGAGGGTAGGGAACAGGAATGCGTAAAGCCGGCGTAGGCAACGCGCGAACACATTGCGCGAGGCCAGCGTACAAGATGCCATGGTCAGGGCGCTTCCTCCTCCTCCTCCCCCTCCTCCTCCTCCTCCTCCTCCTCCTCCTCCTCACAAGCACAAGGGGGCCCTGGGCGCGCCGACCATTTTGGCTCCAACCGCGCCCATGGATTCCTGCCTCGGCGGCTCATCGCGCCGTGCTTGTGGCACCTGGGTGAGAACGTAAGCAATTCTACAGGGTGGCAAAGATCGAGGCAAATTTCTCCAATGGAAGCTACGGGACGCGCCCGCGAGGGGCGCAATACGGTGAATGGGGAGCACGACAGACCGGAAGATGCGCAGACAGCACGCAAGGATCTCAGCAGATAACCTCATTAGGCGCTTGTATACAGAGATTGCGACATTGAAGTGGAAGATAGACAGTTATGATGCTTGGTACTGGTCTTGGGCGAAGGCGAAGCACGAACCCAATGTCATCAGCTACAACGACAAGGAGTCTTGTACGGTGGCAGTGGCGGAGGCGAAGCACGAGCCCAACGCCATCAGCTACAACGGCGACGATCCTGCGAAGTCTTGTACGGCGGTGGTTGGGGACGCAAAGCACGAGCCCAATGTCATCAGCTGCAACGACGTGAAGTCTTGCACGGTGGCAACGGCGGAGGCGAAGCACGAGCCCAATGCCATCAGCTACAACGACGACGTCGGTCCCGCGCAGTTTTGTACGGCGCTAGTGGCGGAGGTAAAGCACGACCCCAATGTCATCAGCTGCAACGACGTGGAGTCTTGCACTTTGGCAGTGGTGGGGGCGACGCACGAGCCCAATGCCATCAGCTACAACGACGACGACTCCCCGCGAAGTCTTGTACGGCGCTTAGTGGCGAAGGCGAAGCACAAGCCCAATGTCATCAGCTACAACGACATGGAGTCTTGTACGTTGGCAAGGGCGGAGGCGAAGCACGAGCCCAACGCCATCAGCTACAGAGACGAGAGCGGGAGGAGTGCTGCGACGACCAAGCCTAACGTCGACAGCTGCAGACCCGAGAATGGAGCACAGGTGAAGATGGAGCCAGATGACTTCTACCCTAGCTACAGCTCAGGGATCAGCGCGTGTGAGAGAGGCGGGACGATTGAGCCATTTACGTCTCACACTAGTCGCTCTACCCCTAGTCTAGGCCCAGGGGGCAGTTCGTATGGCTACAGTGCCGCCATCGGGCCTCGCAGAATGCAGCAGGTGAAGTTAGAGCCCAATATTGCTAGCTACCGTGATGCTATCTCTCAGGAGCTCAGAGAGATCAGTGGAACTCCAGGCGCCCCTTTTTTGCCCAGCGGTTCGGCGGTGATCGACTGGGGCGCCATCAAGAATTCAGATCAAGACCGCAAGCAAATGTGAGGAGACTGTGAGAACAATTTCGTGCCGCGCGTGATAAATTCCGTGCCACTCGTGATGGATGTCCTGAACTGCGGCTTCAAGTCCAGGGAATTTTTAGAGAAATATTGCACATTGACTTTCTCATATGATCATGCTCATGCTCATGCTCCTCCTCCTCCTCCTCCTCCTCCTCCTCCCCTTCCTCCTTCTCCTCCTCCTCCTCCTCCTCCTCCCCTCCTCCCTCCCCTTCCCTTCCACTCCCTTCTTCTCTCCTCCTCCTCCTCCTCCTTACTCCCCCTCCTTCTTCCTCCTCCTCCCTCCTGACTCTCCTCCTCCTCCCTCACTCCTCCTCCTCCTCCCTCCTCCCCTTCTCCTCCCTTCTTCTCCTCCTCCTCCTTCCTCCTCCTCCTCCTCCTTCCTCCTCCTCTCCTCCTGTTCCGTTCTCCCCTCCTCCTCCTCCCCATCCTCCTCCTTTCCTCCTCCTCTCCTCCTCCTCCTCCTCCTGCCTCCTCCCCCTACTACCTCCCTCCATCCTCACTCCTCCTCCTCACCACCCCTCCTCCTCCTCGTCGACGTCTCCTCCTCCTCTCCCTCCTCCTCCTCCGTCCTCCTCCGCCCTCCCCCACATATCATCCTCCTCCCTCCTTCTTTTGCCTCCTCCTCCTCCTCCTCCTCCTCCTCCCTCCTCCCCTCCTCCCTCACCCCCTCTTTCTCCTTCTACACAACCCTCCTCCACCTGATACCCTGGTGGCGGAAAGTTCCGCAGAAATAAAGCCTCCGTTTTGCCTCCTTGCGTTTTTCTCCTTTCCTGCTACCTCCTCCCTCCTGCTCCTCTCTCCTCACGTTCCTTGATGGGCAGTCCCTCCATCCTACCCACCTCCTCCGTACCTCCTCCTCCTCCCTCCTCACCTACTTCCTTCCGCGTCCCCCCCTCCTCACTCCGCCTATTTTCTAGCTTCGCCACCCTTCCTCCGCCTCCTCCTCCTCCTCCTCCTCCTCCTCCTCCTCCTCCTCCTCCTCGCGCAAAGTGCGTGAGGGGTGTGCCGAAGTAAGGCTTCCGTCCGGGTAAAAGGGCCAATCCTACTTAATGTGCGCCGCGTCCGAGAGCAACGACAGGCAGGAAATGCGCGAGGGTGCGCCGACACGACGTGTTCGTCGCCCTCGGGGCGCACTAGTTGATTTCACGCGTCCCAGGGGACCTCAATCATCCTCCATCTCATCATCTTGTCTCGAAGCTCAGCACGGTGAGGGCCCGCAGATGGGCTTACCGAGCTGCATCGTTCCGCTCACTCCGCCTGCTCTTCTTGTATCACTGGTGCTATATGTTGGTGTGCTCGCGGCGAGCGAGGAGGAAGAAGAGAGGACGATGACGATGATGCCTCTCGATGGCTTCTTGGGGCATTCTCTCACGAACCGCACGTGGTCCTTGTCTCAGCGTCTGGGCCGCGGAGCAGCGGAGGAGGACGGCCAGAGGGGGCAACGACGAGGAGGCGAGAGACGAGGCCGCCCCGGGGGGGGAAGGAGGGGAGGCGGGATTGCTGGCTCCAGGAGAAGACAGGAGCCACGGAGGGAGGACTCAGGGTCCACCTTCAGTCGGCCCAGCAACCGCAGGCTTGTGGCAAGCCCCAGATGGGTGTCCATACGATCACACCCAGCCGTGCTGACAGCAACCTCCCCGCCAGTCGTTAGTTGATCGATTGGTTGATTGGTCTTTACACTCTCATCTTCCAGGGAAGGGGGCAAGTAGGGAGGGAGGGACGGAGGGGAGGGTACAGCCCAGACACCTGGCGCTCCAAGTTTTTCGATGCGTGGGCCCCCGGAGGTCTGGACCATCCTCCTTCTCCTCCTCCTCCTCCTCCTCCTCCACATCCTTCTCCTGCTCCTGCTCCTCCTCCTCCTGCTCCTCCTCCTCATCCGCCTAATCCTCCTCCTCCGCCTCCTCCTCGGTCTCCTCCTGCAAATCCTCCTCCTCCTGCTCCTCCTCCTCCGCCTCTTCCTCCTCCTCCGTTTCCTCCTCCTCCTCCTACCTCCTACCTCCTACCTCCTACCTCCTCCTCCTCCTCCTCATCCTTCTCCTCCTCCTCCTCCTCCTCCTCCCTCCTCCTCCCACCCCCGGGTCACCGTCCAAAGCCTCCGCCCCTCCTCCTCTCCTCCTCCTCCTCCTCCTCCTACCTACCTCCCTACCTACTACTCCTACCTCCCTACCTACTCCTCCTCCTTCTCATCCTCCTCCCTCTTCCTCCCTCCTCCTCCTCCTCCTCCTCCTCCTCCCTCTCCCGTCTAATCGCCTCCTCCTCATCCTTTCTCCTCCTCCCGCCACCTCTACCTCATCCTCCTCCTCTCCTCACCTCCTCCTCCCCCCTCCTCCTCGTCCTCCGTCTAATCCTCCTCCTCCTCCTCCTCCTCATCCTCCTCCTTACTCCTACCTCCTACTTCAACTCCACCTCCTCCTCCTCCTCCTCCTCCTCCTCCCCCTTACTCCTCTTCCCCGTCCTCCGTCTAATCCCTCCTCCTCCTCCTCCTCCTCCTCCTCCTCCTCCTCCTCCTCCTCCTACCTCCTACCTCCTCCACTCCCCCCAGGGTCGGGTTGTCGGCCCGGGTCTTGTCTGGATGGTCCCGAGGCCCGCCCCCGGAGGCCGGCGCCGGCCAACCGGCGGCCGCTCCAAGGTGTTGCGGGGACTCGGAGCTCTGGGAGGAGGAGGAGGAGGAGGAGGAGGAGGAGGAGAAGGTAGGAGGAGGAGGAGGAGGAGGAGGTGGAGGAGGTGGAGGAGGAGGATTAGGCGGAGGAGGAGGAGGAGGAGGAGGAGGAGGAGGAGGAGAGGAGGGAGAGGGAGGGAGGAGGCAAGCTAAGTGCGCTCGCGTCATATCTGACGTCCCACCCCTCCCTTCCATCCCTTACCATGGCGTAGATCTCGTCTCTATTCGCACAGTCGGGTGTCGCAGCGTGGCATAGCTTCTACGGCCCCAAAAAACAGCGAATCGACACCGAATGTGGAATCACAGCCGATTTTTTTGCGGGGGGGGCATTTCCTAGATTTTTTTGGGGGTGATGTGGAAGGACCGAAAACCATGCCGTGACATGGCACTGGAAATAATGACGCCAGCGCTGCAGCGGGAGCACGATTCGGAACGAGCGGAAGCGCGGAAATGAGGCCAGCGTTGCAGCGGGAGTGCGATTCGGAACGAGCGAAAGCGCGGAATCGAAGCCAGCGCTGATGCGGAAGCACCTTTCGGAACGAGCGGAAGCCCGAAAGTGAGGCCAGCGCCTCAGCGGAAGCAGCATTTTGAAAAAAACAACCGAAAACCCAGTTCCCGGGAATCCAGCGTGTAAAAAACACAGTACACGGAGGGGGGGGGCAGAATAACCGCATGCCGATGATAATAAAGGGACCCCCCCCCCTTCAGTGTTTAGAGTTGATTATCGTCGCCCTATACAAAATTCAAATTGGGCGGCGAGCGCTGAGGCCGAACTTCATTATCACCTCGAAACGCTATGTTGAGATAGCAACATCAAGCGATGTTGATATAGCAACATCAAGCGAAGCGATCACACTTTTCAGGATGTGTCAAGCGAAACCAATAATTTTGGGAGGCAGACTCAAACGAAACGAGCAATGTTCTTATTATTATTCTACTTTCCTCTTCTTCTTTTATATTTCTATCTGTCCTCACGCTCGCCTGAACTTTTTTATCCCTGGGGTTGATTATCTATGGAAAATGAAGCACATGAGCTACCCTACACGAG